AGACGTTGTCCCGGTTAACTAAGACATAAGGTAATGTGATGTAATCAGTCCTGATCGAATAGTGTAAATCACGAAAAATATAATTTTATAACAAACGTCACAATCATTCCTGCGAAAAAAAACCTTACTATAACTCAATAACCAAGACATAAAACATCCATGTTCGCTAATCATCGGTAAACTGAGTCGTGTTCGGGAAATACAAGTTCAGGAAACCCAGTCTGGTTTTAGTTCAGGAAGAGGGTGCATTGATCATATCTTCAATCTTCGGAACATAAGTATACCCACCAGCATCCAACGTTTAACTCATTTCTTGACCTGAAGGAGGCATTTGACTCTGGACTCTACTCGAAGTAACGCAGACGTGTAGGAGCTTATGGAGAGTTGCCACCTGTAGTTATGAGGACCAGTGTTATGCGTCATGGATGCCCACTGTTGCTTAATTTCATCGTAGATGTAGTAATAAATATGACGCCAACCAGCTTTGGAGACTTAGTCATTTACTTTACTTTTCGTCTCACATCGTCGCGTGTTCTCGCTTAGGTGGAGCGGACTTGGGAAACAAGTAGCCGTCATATGATATTTTTAGCGCTAGACTGGTGAGATTGCGTGGTCACCGAGTCCGTGTCCAGCTCGGAATCCATACTCAACTCAACGTATTGCAAAATATAAAAGTAGTGAAGTCATGATAAAACTAGTCCTTACAAACCAATTATAGGAAATCATGACCGTTAGCTGACATATGACCAGGTTGGGAGTATTTAGGGATGGCCAAACCACGATCTGCCATCAATCCATGGAGTTGGTTTGAGTTAGCCACTTAAAGGAGTGTAGACTACCTGGTTGGGGTCCTCGTGGTTCTAGGGACGAATGAATTGAGACTGTGGGTGACATGACTCAAAGTCGTACTTGATGGCGTACTCTTTATAATCTTGCAGATCCACTAAGCCCTCATTTACTTCCACCTAATTAATCTTTCTTGTGTACATTTCCTCTCAAAGAATCCTTTTCGCCTTATATTTGTTGCTACTGGGGTGTGAGAACTTGAACCACTGCACTTTTGTGCAAAGTCCGACGTTGAAACTCATTTTGTCAGTTTTGAAATATCACTAAGTCCTAAAACCTTTAAGATCCTAAACTTTCATACATTGTCGTAATTTGTGAGTGAAAATTCGCTCGAATGCCTAAAATTACTCGCATTAGTACCAAATGTGTCCCAGTGTATTATTTCTCCCATGAATGCTTGTGATCTTAACTACATTTCAATAAGAACAGTTGGAATTTCGCTATAACTTCCTGTTGGTAAAGGTGACTGTGGTGAAAATGAACACATGTATTTGACACTAAAGACGGTAAAAGTTGTGTCACATTATCTCATACTTTTGGAGTCAGTCAAACCTCAACATTCGATTGAATTACAGTGAGAAATCCTAGCTTCCTTAAAAACCATCCTTTCCATCACCTGTGTTTATCTGAGAACAGTCTCTGTATGGTGACACGTCGAGTGCTATACATCGACTCGAAAAAATCTTTCAACTTTTAGAGTCATTGAACGCCATTCCCCAAATGTGTACTACAATTACAAAACGAACACATGTGGAAGTAATAAAGAGCAGAAATAAGATTATTCAACATGTATCAAAATGTGAAAATTGAGCAGTGTCTGAATATCTGTGGTGTGTGACTTCAATATGTTGTCATTTATTTTTTTATGGGGATTAATGGTTCAGAAGGATCTGCCTTGGGACCTGAATGGAAATTAGCTTACAGCTCAGATCAAGCATTACAGCAGTTTTCTGAGCTTTCTTGGTATGCGATTTTGTGTAACAAATGAGTGTCTTATAAAGTAATAAATTGATCTACAGCAGTACTTCAACAATAGTATTCATTATAACTAAGTGGATTATCAACGGATTTTCGTTCTCACTGGACGAGATATTCAACGTATCTCTCATTTCTTCCATCCTCTATCTGGTTGTATCTAGAATTCTAACGAGATATCACTGGGAGACACATACACGGATGCTTGGAATGCACAGGTCATTTTATTTTCTTATTAACGCTCTGTTGCATATTTTGTTTTTAAAACTAATATAATATAAAATTCACAATATCTCTCTTCTGAACTTTGTTGGCGATTATCTGGTTTTTCTGACACATACAAATGAGTACCCACTTCTTAATATTGGTTAGCATTGAGTTTCTTATATAGATTTCATAATTATAACTCAACGTAAAATCTCAGAATTTCGCACATTATTACTGATGAAAATATATATTGGTAAATACATCGATTTTAAGGCAGATGACCTGAAGAAAATTACCATAACTGAAATATGAAATTAGCCATTAATAATTTAAGTCGAAATTTTCACAGATCAATTTTATGCCGTTTTAAATGGATTATTGTTTGGAGGATAGTGGATCGATCAGCGGCAAAATACGTCCGTTTCACCGACGCATCATGGATAGTTTGAATTTGCTCGCAGCACTTATTTTTTCTGAGTCGATTATATGACACAATATGATAAAGTAAAGATATGAAGGTCCTCTGTGACCCTAGCTAGGATAAAGGATACAGAAGTTAATTTCAAAATCCCAGCATTCTTAAATGCAATCAGAAGGATATCTAGCTTTGTTATCATAAGTTTTGTTGAGTAACTGATTTCTAGAACAACACATTTGAGCGAACAATATTATTTTCAATTAGATCTCATCAGGCTTAACTCTAATATATATAAGTTTAGAAATAAAAATTCAAATATAAACCAATCATGGTATTTTGTCTATAGCATAATAAAACAGCGAATATAAATTGTGTCATTAGTCATAATAGTAGTAATGATAATAATAATAATAATGGTTTTATCAATAATAAGGATGAAAAAGTGAAGCAATCTGTGATAACACGAATGATGAAAAAACAGCATGATTAAATATAAAAATATTCAGGTGGGAGTAGTCGATAAAGGCTAGTAAAAACAAAGGAACCGATTAAGTAATGCTAGATTGTAAGGGAAGTAAATGAGACACGTTTTTAATGAAGATGTGATAAGATTAAGGGATGATAAGAAAGGGGTTGAAAATATAAACAAGGGGTGGTGTAGAAGTCGTTAGTTGGTTAAGTCTTAATAGGCCAACAAGGGAGGGATAATGGCTGTACGAACTTCTTTTGAATGCATAGTTTAGGTTTAATAGTTCAAATGCCTATAGCCTCAGCTGTGTGCAGAAGACGAATACGAAGTCTATTTGAAAGATTCTGTGGGATACAATGAATTACTTTGAAAGCTTTCATTTTCTCCACTACATGACCACTATCAATTAAACGTGATAAAATTGAGCTACGGATTGTTTTGTCTGTCCTTTGCCAAACCACGATGGGAGATGTTCACTAACACGTTGGCTAAGCTGTCTAGTAGTACGCCCAACATAACTGTCACCGGAGGTGCAGTTGAATTGATAAATCCACATGGATGTGGCGAAACTATCTAGCTTATCCTCCGTTTACGGCCCAATCATTCGTCGGCTAGAGAATGACAAACATAGGTATGCTGCGTAAAACGTTCTCCGTATACTCCTGGATAGTCTCTGGAACAAAGTCTCACTAGATAAGTCACCATTAAATTGTAACTAAATAAATAGAGGCTTTTTTCGTGTAGTCAGAGTCTCAGGTTTTCTCTCTGACGTTTTCATATGTTTCTGTATGAAACTACTCGGATAGCCCATCTCCATCAAGGAATCGTGAATATATATATATATATATAATTTTTACTGATCAAATGAAAAGTTGTCTTTCACTATTTCTCAGCTGGACAGTGAGTTTTCGAATAATTTTCTAAAACACAGTGGTTAGGTAAGTAATGTTCCAAATTATTCACTGCCATATTTCACAAGCTTAATTAAAGTGTGATACTCCCCGTAGTTACAAAATATATGACCAAAACCCAGAGAACCGTTTAAAAACCCGTGTGATAATGATTTTATACTTATTCATCCCACTGAGAAGAGAAGGATGTTAAATTGGTGTAGAACTAGTGTAAATGACTCAAATGTCATGCAGATCATCACGCCAGTGTTGCTTATATTAGGACGACAGTCAGGGTGTCTAGTGAAATCCCCTCTTTTATGTATTTAACCGTTTAAATATTGAGTTTACCCAATGATTTTAACAGAAACCGAGTGACAAAATGTAAGCACTAGATTTTAGAATATTCTTATTCAGTGGGGGAAATTGTTCTATTAAGAAATTGACAAAAGTAAAATAATACCCATAAGAAGTTGAGTTCTGAAGTTACCGCGTTAATGACATACAAACTTTACGTTATTCAAATTCTTGTATTTGATTCACGATTACCAAAGGTCGTCGTAATGTTTTCACAGATTTTTGTTTCTGAACAAACACTTCAATTCCAGAAGGAGAACCAAGACTATACATTAGTGAGTTCAAAGTCAGAAATAGATTTTTACTAACTAACAATTTCCATGACACAGATATAATTTCGAAGTGATGAGGTTATGTAATCCATATATTTACCCCAAGTTTTAATAAACTTTTGAAAAACTGAGTGAGTCGTACCATCCAACAAGTACTGACTTACACAACATGTTTCAAAATTTTAGATCAGGTATCAATCACATCATTAATCTTTGTGACACTGTATAACGAAGAGTTATTTTACCAGTGAGGGGAGTGATCTTTGAAGCTTAGATCTAGGCAGAACTCAAATCACAGGCCGCCTTCAACTTGGACATATTTCGTTTGCGACACTTCTGTCAGAAAACATGTGGTTATGGTTCATTAAAGCTGAAGAAGGGAGAAACTGAAGACACATCATTCATCGTATCTTTGTCTAGTTAAGTGTTACCTTATTCTTCTTAGAGAAAAATGACTGTACTAAAGCATCCTTGGGTGTGTTAGCCATACATACACATGAAGAACCCGGAAAAGTATCAAACAGGAATGTGGTTTTCACCACTTAAAATGTCACTTTTTCCACAATAAAACGGTTAAATTCGGTTTTGATATTTTTTATGCATTAAACAAATTTTAACCAGTGATTATTTTTCCTTCAACAAATGACACATCAGTTATAACTAACATGAACAATAAAATATGCCTCCAAATAATATAAAAATAAATCAGTAAACATCATGAGATATTTCATTCATCAAAACAAAATGTGTAATAATATAATTACTGATTTCATTTGATTTAAAGTTACGTCTAAATAAATCGATTGAATTATTTGATTCCTCTCATGACGTTTTCTGTTCACTTCGCTGTTGCTTACTTTCATACTAAACTTGATCCTTGGAAAGATCTTCGTTAGTATGCTCACCATCGTAACATTTCCTCAGAGTGTTGCAATCTTCAGAAGCTGAATGTTTCACTTTGTGAACGTTTTCTTCTGATGTTATACTTGTACGTCTGCTTGATGGATTTTGTTTATCATCTGTGATTGCACCAAGAGTTGATCTACGCTGGGCATCGATACTTTCAAGCACCGGTGGCATAGACAGAAAATCATTCACTGATATTTCGCTAGGTCGACGACTTGGTAATCGATATGATGCTAATTTATTCAAAGAAGGCTTTTCTTTAGCTCCAGAATGTGCTGCTCCAATAGAAAACGGTGAATCACTTGATTGTGCTCGCTGTAATAGCGTTGGTAGCGATTCGTTTGATTTTCGATGAGCATTTAAACGTAAAGGTTCTAAGTTATCCATATCTTCTTCTCCATCTTTTGTTAGTTGTCCTTCTTGATCAAGATCATGAAATTCCACTTTTATCTCCATCGGTTTACTTTCAGTACTATCCATCTGTTCAGTGGGTAAGATCCCCTGTAGTTGTGTGTGCAATTTAGTCTTTGGATAGTTTGTTTTAATCTTACCTTTTGTCTTTAATTCATTTGTGACCCTTGAATTTTGAGCATTCCTCCTATTGGCTGATTTTTGAAATCTTTCATGCCGTATTTCAGAACCAATAAGCTTTTTACACTGTAGCTCACTTATGGCATTACTACTCAAATCATTCATTTCAGCTATTGGTTGAGTGCTAAATCCCAGTTGAATTCGTTTTGCTTGATAGTAAATGCTTAATTTGGACGACGTGAACGTACCATACTGTGTGATTTTCTCTAAGCTAAGGCATAAAATCAATAACAATAGGAAAAAGTTTAACGCCCTTATCAACTAATTAAATTGATTAAGTTAGAAAATTGAGTAGAAAATATAGTGACTTTTGGTGCACACAAGAAAGGAAAGAAATGTATTTGTGTATATAAATGAATTTACAAAGCTTTTGTCGATTAACTATCATGTGTCCTTAAAAGTGACTATTCCACACAGTATAACAGGCTAGGGTGTATTAATTATGTATAGATTAATTTTGTGTGATAAGTGGAAACCATTTTTCAAAGAAATGTATGCCATAGTAGAATTAAGTGTAATTAAATGAATATATTAATTACAAATTACAGTACATGCACAGTCTAGTATTGGTTTTCCAGTGGTTCTCTAACTGATGTCAGCTCATGATGAAATTCTACATACACAGTCGTTTAATGAGTAACGTTGGTTCTTATACACAGTCACTCCATCTCTCGAAAAACAGTGTGGACAATTAGGCAAAACCTAAACAATGAACTCAGAGGTTGTAAATCATATCATATTACTTTTGGAAAGAGGAGGCCAACAACTTTACGTATTTTCCCTTTATATTGATTCTAAGTCACATCTGAGCGTCTCGAGCCTCTGAGCCAAATTATCTTTTATACCCCACCCAGAGAGTTATAATTCATCAAAAGGTGCTGACACAACTATCCTGTATTCCACGGTGTCATTTCATGGCCTGATCGCTTTTCTACTTTCTTCTGCACTAGTGAGTGGGGATAGAGGCTTCTGACAATGTTGCAACAGAACTTTGCACTTATATGGTGCAGAAAGCGTATCACACCTATGCTAATCAGCAACTGATTTTGTGCGATTTGGATGTGCCGTATATAATCACATGGTAAGACCATACGTTGCACGGTGGAAAAGTGAACAACCTACGTAGAACTTAACAGAAACGATGGATCAGTTCAGGCGATAACACAGAATGTGGAACAAAATAAAACTAGACTACAATCAACTGGTATGTTAAACACAAAAAACAGAGATACTTGAAACTGCATGATGGATAAGATTTTATTTTGATAAATCACACAGTGTCGTACAGTTATATTAACTGGTGACGTTTCGAGTACAAACTATTGCTCATAATCATATCAGTTGTGTGAGTAACTTCATATGATTATGAGCAATAGTTTGTGCTCGAAACGTCATCAGTTAATATTACTGTACAACACTGTGTGATTTATCAGAATAAAATCTTATCCATAATGGAGTTATACTCTACCACAGTGCCCAATTTTATACTTATATACTTGGAACTGGAAAAGACGATCACGGTTTGTGTTGAATTATTAGCTCTTGTCATTTAGAAGACTAAGACCAGACAGCCTACATTTTCATATAACCTTTAAATTATTAAACAGTCAGTAGAACAACTGGATCTCGTCTTTCCAACTCATATCATTTATGGGTACAACGTTTTTCTTTCCTTCTTTTCCTTTTCTCTCTATCTCTCTTTTTTCTGTTATGTGCAGCTTTGTTTCTTTCTTCTGCTTACGCCAGAAAATATTCTAGAACCTACTTTTCTAGCACGTTCAAACACTCTGTTTCATTTTGGCTTTGCTACCGATATGCTAATATGTTTTTGTCAAAACTAACTCAGATTACCCTTAATCTACGTAGAATTTTATTTTATTGTTAATTTACTAACTGGATGCAATACTGTAGTAAAATGCTGAGAATTCCATTCTGTATCGTAAGTACTGTTCTGGAATAAAGCTATTATCATTATCATTATATTGCTTAGAATAACAGTCAGTGATATGATGGATTATTTAACAATCTAACATCGGTTAATGTGGCTCATTGAGGAAGATGGTAGGTTGTCATATTCAGTCATCATGGTTGATGAAGTTCCAAAATCTCATGGATCGCCTTGTCTTTCTTTGTCAACAAGCCTAGCGTCACCATCATACCATGCTGCTTCACTTAACGTGAGCATCTAAATCAACGAAGTATTTGGCAATTACTCTCCGCCAAGTTAGATTTGAAAAATTTTGGAGTATATCACAGATCAATTTTATGAATAATGGAGTTATACTTTACCACAGTGCCCAAGGTTTATCTTTATGTAGATTTGCTTTGTACTAATTAACATTGAATGTTGTTATGACAGATAATATTCCAACTAGAGTTAACATAATGAAAACTTGTTGGCAACTTTGATTTAATCCGGATTTTATGAGTTTTTTCTTTATAAGCCGTTGAACGAAGTGTATTCAAGATTATCACGAACAAAAAGATAAATCTAAGCCTACAATCTGATTTGTTCTAGCTTAACGTCAAACAACACAAATACCCACATACCATAGTTAGCAACAAACTACTATAATGCAGTTATGCTGAAGAAGCTGTGGCTTAAACAAAGAAAGGCTCAGAAAAATCTTGTTTGATTCACTAAACATGCTAGGATTTTTTTAAAAGTAATTTTATAATAAATTATAATTTGTTGGAAATCGAAAAAGTAACAGCACAACACAACTTGAGGTATATATATATATATATATATATATATATATATATATATATATGGCAGTAAAAAGTTTGAGCATTGGGGATTAGATCAGATAAAGTATAATTATATTTTAATAGTTTACACACAATGATAAGTTTTGTTAACAAAACTTATCATTGTGTGTAAACTATTAAAAAATATAATTATACTTTATATATAATGGGCCGAAGATGCTACAAAATCCACCTTGTTTCTTCGTGTTTTAGCTGGAAAATAGGTCTTCAAGCTTTGAAGTTTCAGTAGCAGTGGTACTTTTACTGGTCCGCTAGCCTTATTATCATCTGATAAAGTAGGAGTACGTGAACTGAACTTAGACTTCATTAGTGGCTGGAAAGCATTTCATCACTGACCCATAAGGATATCATACAGAAATAAAATGGTTTCTAATCTATCTCATATCAAGTATGTCAAGAGTGAGAACCAATATACAGTGAGGTTTAGTGACCGTATATGTCAAAAATCGAATGAACTCAGGAAATGCTGATTTTTAGGTCATATAGCTGAGTAATAATTCTGTGTACTGGTTTTAATCCCGAACGAACAATTTATATCCTTTTTTTAAATTCTTTCTCAGTAATTACCAGACATCTGTCAGATATAGGTGCGAAATTGTATCACCAGAATAATAAATCCGTTAAAAACATCCAATTAAAAACTAAGCAATCGACTAATACAATGTAGTTTCAATCAATGTAAATCTCTTTATGAGATTCAATCACAAGAAAAGAAAACACTTGATAATTTTTCCTAAAATGATTTTCCAACTAATTGTTTTGATTATTGTGTATATGGGTGCAAGATACACTGTCAATAAGAATATGAACTTAAGCAACTGACTGACGCACTTATAAACTTAGGCAAAGGAATAACGCAGTGAACATATAGCGCAGTTTTGTTCCACTTAGTAGGTAGTGGACATCAAATTAAACTACAGCAGACATTGTCGATGATATGTTATGTTTCCAGTAACTTGTCAAATGCAACTGGACAGTATCCTCTATCGGGTGGTGAAACGGTAGCAATACACACCAGAAAATGTGAAATATTCATGGCAGGACAAAGGTGAACTAAAACAGTATGTACACCGCACCAACAAGTAAACTTAACATTAAACTCTAACCTGTGTGTTCATAGTATTCGGCCTTTGTTTCCTGTGTATGTTAAAGAGTAAAAATACTCAAAAACTAAATTACATCCAGATTAATTCAAACAAAAGCATGAGTTAATCCTGTAAGATTCTGCATAAAAGATGACCTAAACTATGACTCTTTGCGCAAAATGAAGAACACTTAAGGGCTATCATATCAATTATTACAAAGATAAGTTTTAAAGTAGGAAGTTCTAATTAAAAATTCTCTTACCTTGACATTTACCAAGAATTCTCGTAAACAAGAAGCATATATATATACATATATATATGCCGGAAGTCAGCAATTAACGAATATTTAAGGAGAATTTTGGAATAATAACCACCAAAGTAAGCCCCAAATATTCATCGTTAACATTCATTATGAATTTATTCAGGATTATGCTAGAAAACCTTTAACTTTGCCTAATTTAGTAGCCAGAAATACGGAAGGTTCGGTTTGTGACCAGCAACCCTATCACTACTGGAATTTTAAAGTACAGAAAAAACAAACTTATTTTCCGCTGGAGTTCTGGGGATCGATGACGCCGGATATCAATAGTCTCGTTTCAGAGAACAAAAACTAAGAATATGTGCAGAAATTCCACTACCATATTTGAGGCTGACTGACATGGTTGCTCAGAAAAATGGGATGTGTTGTAGGAGTATTGGGAATCTGTGAAAAGATGGAATGAAAATGGACTACCTAAGTTTTCAACTGGAGAGTCAGTAACTACAAGCATAAAGAGGTTGTGGCCACCGTGAAGTTACTATAAATACAGTGGGAACCCATCTCCTCCAGAATCATAACGGCAAGATTCAACTGAAAATGAAGGAAATTTAGTTATACAAAGCGACATACCCACAAAGAGCTCAAACACAGAGAAGGCGACAAAAGCAGCAGCAGCAGAAATAGATTAATTCCTCTTGAAAGCACTGGAAATAGGCTCAAAAACCTCAGAGTACATGTTCTTGTTAATACTACAGGTATGGAAGGGAAAAAAGAAAGGTACTCGCCGATATAGAGAGGTGAAACCATGTCAAAATGATAAAGAAGTATAACTTCAACCGACGCAAGAACTTGATCTGAATCATGCTTTCATCCATTCCAAGTAAGACATAAGGTTGGATCATCCGGGAAAGACTAAAAGATCCCTTGGATGGGAGACTTCCTCCGAAACAGTATGGCTTCAGGAAAACGAGACCTGTGCAGACCATACTCAGCTTCATCGCTGTTAGAAGCGCCTTCAATAGCATCAGCTACAGGGTAACTTGTGAAGTACCTCAATACTGTGTGAAACAGGCCCACGGCAATTTTCACTTGTATTATAATTATTATTACCTTAGTTGTTATCATTATTATTATTATTTCCACTTTATATGCTGCATGTTTTTGACGTTACCTCTATTGTAAATGTGGAAAATTTTCTGTGTGATTAATTTTATTTATAATTTGAGGAAATTAGATGCAATATTGTGATTAATGCTGAAAATTCCATTCTTTGTCACAACTACTGTTTTTGGAATAAAGTAAATCATTATTATTATTATTATTAAAAACACTGAGGACGGCAGTGGCGTAAAAGCATATTATTCTCACTCAATAGACATATGATGATGTTGCATGCTAAGTAGTTCATGATGGTAAGCTTAGTGAGGCGTTCACAGTGAAGATTGGAGTGATACAGTGTCTACTATCGCCCATGATCTTCCTAACTGTGGTGGACTGGATCATTGAAGGGATCATGTTTAAAGAGTGATATGATGAGCATACGTCGGACTGACAAAAATGCCCTATATGTGGCTATCGAGAGCCATTTATTTTTCGTCCCATAAACATGAAGATCTACACACTAAAGTCAAAAAGTTGGCAGAAGAAGCAGTGAAGACAGGACTGTAACGAGGTCAGCATAGAGAAGGCGGGGGTGATGAGGATGTCCAACGAACAACAATAAACAGAAATCACCATCAATTAGAGAAGTTGGGAGCAAGTCGTCTGGGTCACTTACCCAGTCAGGCAGCATAATTCCAAATACAGAGTGGCTACACAGATAAAGATTTCAGTACGAGTCGGGATCCTGTGGAGAAAGCCAGACAGGCTGTCATTACTCTGAAATTGATATGGAGATCTTCAACACTTAGTATAAAGAAAAATTCTAATTCTCAGCACTATATACTGAAGAGACATGACACGCACGTCGCTTAAAGCATTTTCTAAGTCAGTTTCACACTTTCATCAACAGATACTGACGTTTAATTGTGAAGATCAGATGACCAGTCGGAAACGATAAGCATCAAGGAACCCTAGGTGGCAACAAACCATCGAAAACCCACAAACCCAAGAATATGCAGATTGGAAATACGCCGAGGAAACATCTAAGTAACATCACACACCGTGAACTTTCTGTGATGGAATCCGAATGAGAAGCACTTTGTTGAGTAAAGGTCAGAGTGCGACACAGTACAATTGATATGTGGCAGTGGAACCCTAAGTTCCATTAGGAATCCTAAGAGCTGATAATGCCAATGATAATAAAACACTTACGTTTAGCCATAAAATTAATGCATTTACTTACACTACTCATAAGTAGGGAAATAATACAACAAATTCAAGTGTCGGTTTGTAGGGATTTGATTGGTTTCGGGATTTCATTATGAGCTGACATCAGTTAGAGAACCATTGGGAAACCTGGGAGTACTGAACAGCTGTTTCGTCCTAGTTTGGGACTCTTCAACAGTACGCACCCACCGGGATTCTAACCCAAGGCGAGCTTGTATACCATTAAGCCACTGGGACCCTATCCTATGGTCCTTGAGTTCTAACTTCTGCACATTCACGGCATAGCTACAAACCAACACTTGAATACCAATGAGATGCTCACTGGAGACTGGCCCTATTTTGGTAGGTAGTTACTTGGGTTCCAGTGGGAAGTCGTGACCAGTAGGGTGCAGCTGGTCGGGTGTGAGGACAAATACTCGCCGAAGACATTGGCTAGCGGTCGCGCTATGTCGTGAATTGGCAGAAGTTAGAATTCTAGGACCATTGGATCGGGTCCCAGTGGCTTAATGGTATACGAGCTCGCCTTGTAACCGGAAGGTCCTGGGTTCGAATCCCGGTGGGTACGTACTGATGAAGAGTTCCAAACTAGGACGAAACAGCTGTCCAGTACTCCTAGGTTTTCCAATGGTTCTTTAACTCATGTCAGCTCATGATGAAATCCTAATACAACAAATGTTTTCAAGATTACATCAAAATTTCTTCCATGACCTTTGGGAGTATGACGTGATATGACCTCAGTTATGCTTCACCGAACCATATGCTGTGTTATAAGGGACAAAAATATCTTCACGACGGTGAATTTATTTGATGGCGAAATCTACCGGCATAGAATTTCAGTTTGATATTATGTACTGAGCTCGCTTATAAATTATTTCGACATATCCAATGTTATACGGTAATCTGTGTTATTAAAGCATGTAAGTCAGTTTCATACACTAAAATCTAAAATCAAAGAAGACTCCTGAACAAGTCTAATCCGTCCCGAAGAAGATACTTCTGCTTAGTCTAGAATTCAAAAGTGACATAAAGGCAGAAATCCTTCGGAAACGCCTCTGCAAATCACTGAGGGAAACATACTTCGCCGCAAGCCTACAACTAACGTTTTCCTGCAAGAAACTGTTCAGCCAGAACGCGAAAGACAAGTTGTCACATTGGGCCACCTCAACGTGCATATACCAGTTTAATTGCTCGTGCGGAGCTGAGTACATGGGCCGTATCATGAGCCAACTTGCAAAATGCCCTAGTGAATACTATCCAGTCTGGCTAGTAAAAGGAGAACTAAAACGTGTATATTGTTCAGTGACAGAACATCTGTTCAATTCAAGACATTTAGCGCCATTCGAAAAATCCTTCAAAATAATATACAACATTCGACCAAACCTATCAAGGGGAGTAAAATTAAGGCATCTGGGCATAGCCGAGGCACTAGCTATCCAAAAGCCCAAACCTAAGGTACGTATCCAAAAGAAATACATCCAACCCTTATCCCTGCCACGGCCATCATAAACAGGTAATTCTCCTAATAGTGACTATCCTATTGTCCTTCTTATCCAAACTTCCTGCTTATTCACGTTATTTTTAAGTTCCTCTTAATCCCTATTTACACTACCATATTTTCATATCCGAACTTCCTGTCTATTTTGTCATTTTATTATCTCTACATTTCGAACCCCTAATTGCACAATATGTCAATCTTCCCAGTAATTATGAGGCCACTTTGTTTGAGTTTTATCCGTCCCCCTGTTTATCATGGCATTTTAATTTCTAATTATAATTTTTATTAATTTGACTCTTGACCGGAAATAGTTCTGGAACTTTCCCACCCATTTATTATAAATACACGAATGTGCAACCTAGATGATGACTTCGTCGAAAAGAAAATTATTTTTTCGCTGCAACCGTCTTTTTAATAGTTCCGATTGAAATAATCAGATAGTGAATCCATTGGAATTTAATTATGTATCTAAGGTTAGAACTTGGATAGATTTTGCAGGAAGTACTACTTAAAATCAGATATAGTCAGTGTATCGGTGAAAGAATTCAGAAAAATAAAAATATGTTTTGGGACACCTGAAAAAGCCGTCGAAGAAGACAGCTATGAGAAGAGCGTCACAACACTGTGCAGAATCCAACAAGCTATCGAATGTTGTGATATTCGACCAATTTGCAAATGGTGTGCAAATGAAGACATAAAGATTAGGTATACCAAATTAATGTACCCGAAAATGCTTTTGTCCTAATAAACATAGCCATTGAGCCCCATCGACCTTTTCTAGTCTACGGTGTCAATTTTTTGTCATCTTGAGGGAGTCATTCTTAGTTGAAGTCCACTGGGTTTTGAACCTTGCACCTTCTCGTTACAAAAGAATCTCGTGTCGCATTCAGACATTGGTACTCATTTCAACGGGCGATGAATTCGTGATTTTCTAACTGGACTTATAGACAAAATATTCGTTGTGCTCATCATGTATATTGGTCTTAAGAAGGCATTCAATAAAGTTTGTCATAGTTTGCTCCCGGAAAAACTAAAGGCTTATGTTATATCTGGCGATCTCTTACAGTGGTGTAATTCATTTATATGTGGTCGTTCCTAATCTGTCAATATTCACGACACTTTTTCTAGTACCACCCCTATACCATGTGGTGTAATTCAGGGTAGTAAACAAGAGCCTCTCTTCTTCCT